GCTCTGGAAACTTTGCCCAAGGAAAGCTAGGAAAGAAAAAATCACCCGAAGAAGAGAGCTGAGCCTCCAAGTTAGAGCTCGGCAGCGGGCGAGGGGAGACGGGAGGGAGCGCGCGGGAGAGCGAAATCCAGCCCAAGTTTGGAGGGTCGCGGGTCCGGAAGGCCAGCTCCGGGGCCTGAGGGAGCAGAAGCCGCCTGGAGAGAGGGGGTTGGGGCGAGGCCGACGGCGCAGGCCTAGGCTCAAGGGCCGAGAGCGCGCCCCCAAGGCCAAGGCAGGGACTCGGAATCTGAGCGACCCAACTAACGATCGGGTCTGAATGCCACCTACAAAAGCCGTGAGTCCCCAGCTACCAAGGGTCGCAGAAAGAGGGGCCGAGATACAAAGCCCGAGAAGCCAGATTCCGGGTGCGTTCCAGTCCCCAGAGGGGAGCACCCGGGGCCGGGGCTCGAGGCACCCAGGCGTCCACCTCGGAGCTGTCCCCGGCCAGAGGACAAAGCACGGGTAGCCCCCAGATTCCTAGTCTCTGGGAACCTGCTCCCGGCGCTGCGGGAGGTCCTTGAGCCTGCTTCCAAGGAGGGACACACCCCCTCCCACTCCAGGGCAAATGCAAAAGCACTGAGCAAAGGGAAGGAAAATGTTTCTTGAGGACAGAACACAATTGTTCCTTAGCTGTTACACGAGGAAAGAGAAAATAGGGAAAGGAATGAAACTGTCTAGCAGGAGCAGCCAGGAGGCTGCTGTGGTGAGGCCCTCGGGTCACGGCCGCGCTGCCCAGGCGCCAGCAGCCACCGCGCGCACACGGGAGCCCAAAGCCCCCTCGGTTCCCCTCTGCAGCCCTTCCCTGGAATTAGGAAAGACCTGTTGGAAATAAACCCCTGTCTCTTTAATGCACACACGCGCGCGCGCTGCCGCTGTCAAAAAGCGGGCTTCACTCTGGCGTGGGATACTTTCAGTTTTACGTAAAATGTACAGCAACAGCACCCCCTGCGATTGGAAAGTTTATTCAGAAACGTGCTGCAAAGTCCCTTGGCGTCTCCCGCCTCCCAGCCTCCCAGCCTGCCTGCACCACCCCGCAGCCGCCGCCGCCGCCGCAGCAGCTAGGGAGACCGCTCTCCGAGTCCAAATCTAGCAGCGCCCGGGCGGGGGCGGGGGATGGACAGTCCCCGGTAGGCGCGGAGGGCGCAGGGTGGAGACCCGTGCTGCAGGTGGACATCTGTGAGTCTGCAGAGCCAGGAGCCTTCCTCCCCTCTCCTCCAGCGGCTGCACCCATCGTCCCTGCACCCCTCCTCCGAGAGGTGTCGTT